CACGACACCATGGCTAGCCCAACCGAAGCAACCATGCCCAATGGCAACGGCCACATGGCCCAGACGCCTGCCCAATCCTTTTACCCCGACCCCCGGGGAGCACATAGACACTACACTGATGAAGCCTGGGAGACAGACCACACCAACATGATGCAGACCCGCAAGCACAAAGCAGACGACCCAGACCCAGGCATGCCAGAAGGGCTAGCACCCCAGCCTACACACCCAAAACCGCAAACAGACAACAAGAAAGCCAGACGCAGTACGTCCACCAACAACCACGAGCAAACCCGCGCAGCACCAACCCTCGCCCACGCCACCAGTCACATCAATACCGGGCGGGAAGACGAGTGCAGTCCACCGACAATACCGGGCCAGGACAGAGCTACCGAACTCGACGAAGCCCGCAACCAAATCCAACACCTGATGGATCACCACGACGACATGGGCATCCAAGAACAAATCCAACAATGCGAGCTGGTAGCGGCCCTCCTCGAACTTGGCATCCAACACATGGACCAAGTCCAAGCAGTCACAGACTGGCAAACCTGGGGGACAGGGGAACAAGCAGCCACACAAGCCCACCACATAGTCACACGGATCACCCAGACCCTGCGATCCACTACATCACCCACAACCACCCAACTGACACCCCAGCTCCAGGACATAACACACATGATCACCACCGCGATAAGGGCACATACACTGGTGATCCGAGCCCCGCAGTGGAGCCAACCACCAGCAGCACAACAGCACCCCCACCATGAGGCCAGCAGCTCACAGGCAAACCACACCGTGCCAGCACACCCAGCGGATGTGATTCACCTATCCCGGGGAGCCCCAGAAGCACGGCCAAACCACACCAGCAACACACCACAACCACTCATACAAGCACTGCGCCTCCTTCGGGAAACAATACCGTTTCTCGAGCAACAGACCGCAACACAGGTCACACAGGCGATTCAGCATATCCACCAATGGGTGGGCCAGCACTGGGAGAGTGAGGACGCAGTCCTGATCGATAGCCAAACACCATCACCACCGCCACCTCCACCACCACCACACACCGACACGACCACCAGCGACCATGCCTCCGTGACACAAGACCACAACAATATCCCACCAATCCCAGCACACCACCTACCAACACCAGAGCTGGAAACACCAGAACTGGAGGAAAGCATTCGCCTCGCCCACCTCCTTGCAGACCAACCACCAGGACAACCACGAACAACCAGGGAAGAGAGAAGGCAAGACCTCCAAACCATTGCCACCCTCTTCCGCACCGCGATCCGGCGAGGCCACACCTACCAGCTATATCAACACGAGCAACACACCCCCACCAAAGCCGAATCGGAAGCGCAACAAAGGGGAGAGCGAGCCTGTCAAGAAGCCATCCAAATCCTCAATGAGCTCTCACTCCAAACCGCGCTTGGCATGAGGGTGGAACACACGGCCGGTTTGCTCGAGCAAGTGATCGTGAGAGCCCACACGGCCAGGGAAGCACACGAGGTCCTCCATGAAGCCATGGTGCACAGGGAGACCGAGACGTTCATCTCCCCACCTGGCTCAACACCACCTACGATCCCTTGGCCACCCGCCGCGACACCGGAAGAGCCGCCAACCATGTCGCCAACATCACCAACGACGGGAACCACGGGGGCCAACCTACAACGTGGACAACACCGACTACGTGATCATGGGAGACACCATCACCGGGGAGACCCACGACTACCTGACCAGGGACAACATCAACTACCAGAGTGGATGGGAGACCACCACCGTCGTGCGCACCGCCTACCCGAACACCGGAGAAGGCGCGAACATGATGGTGCCAGCAGTGACTGAAGGCAGCCCGTTAGCCGAGCCTAAGCCAAGCCACCCTTCGTGTCTTCACCTTACTCATCACGTAACGGGAGTACTTGTTCCTACCCTATTCCCAAACCCACCTCAGAAGGGCAAAGGCAAAGGCGCAGGTCACATCAGGGGAGAACAATGGAATATAATGCTAACTCTCTAGCACGTTGTGTTGGTTCTGTTGTCACCCCACAAATTGCTCCCACTGAACGAGTGCACCTGATCCAATAAGGTTTGGGACTTTAGGCCACTAGGGGAGAGGGGAAGCAACCGAGCCTGGGCAATGACCCGGCAGTTTCGCAAGAGGAGGGAGGGACAATAACACCGTCACCTATCCCATCAAGTTGCACCCCAAACCCAGTTTGAACCCGGAGCCAGTGCTGTAAGGGGAACAATTGTGATGCTACCCTCAACTCCCAAACCAGTCCTTTGGTCACCCTCTGGCCACCTGAACCTGAAGTGTCTTGCAGTCCGGGAAACACCCCACCCCACAGCACATAGCTCTCCGGGGGCGTACAGACCGTGGTGAGTACAGGCGTGGGAGTTTCCCTCATAAACAGGAATGGCCGGTTCCACCCGTGAAGCATTACCCCAGGCCCCAAGATGAATCAGCGTGGATTACACACATCCGGATCATTCCTAGAGGTTGTCCCAACACCACGGAAGTCTCACACACAGACAGATCGCTGGAGCTCGCCCGTTAGGGCGGTCCCCCCCCCACACAGGGGGACCAGGTGCAGTGGAAGGAAGAAGGAAGAGGGAGGGAGGGAGGGAGGGAGGGAGGGAGAGGGAGGGAGAGGGAGAGAGAGGGAGTGAGAGGGAGTGAGAGGGAGTGGGAGGGTGAGAGGGTGAGAGGGCTACCAACTTATGAGCCGACTGTGCGGTCTCTATTGTAGTGGCATATTCTTTCATATTCTTGTTGCAACTGAGTGTATTCTTTGTAGCTTAACAAGTACCTTCTTATTCCTAGGAGGCCAGCTCCTGAAGCGCTAAAGCAACCGGTCCATCTTGCAAGCGGCAGGGGCCCTGCAGACCGCGTTGAGGGTTGAGGGTGCACCTTTTAAGGCTCAGGGTTCGAGGTCTAAAAATGTAGAGCAGAGCATCGGCAGCACTTGGGGCCAGCTAGGCCAGGGGCTAGGTGGATAAATCAGCCAGGAAGCCTAAGCGAAGCCCCAAGCCCTAAGCCCTACAGGTTCAGGAACCCTGAATGAAGAGAGGGCCAGTTGAGCCCAAAACCCTAAACCCTAAACCCTAAACCCTAAACCCCAAACCCTAAACCCTAAACCCTAAACCTGGCTTCCAAGGCTTTCGGAGAAGCTCCAGCAGCTTGTCGCGGCAAAGATGCGGGGACCTCGTGCGCTCTCTTTGATCATAGGGCTGAGGGCTTAGGGGGCTCAGCACATGTTTTAGGGTTTTTAGCATTAAAAAAAAACCTAAATGGGTTTTTTTAACACTAAAAAACGCTAGGTGTACGAAAGGCGACACCACTTCGAGTATAGAGTATGGTTTCTTGTCCACGTGCTCTCCTTCGAGGCACATGTGTGTGTTTTTGTGACCTTCAGGATGCGTTAGCGCTGCGATCGTGGCCATAAGTAAGTTGGGGTCAGGATCCAGACATGGGTTTAGGGTTTAGGGTTTAGGGTTTGGGGATGTTTCTGGCACTGTTGAGCTTCCCTTGCATCAAAGCCCAGGCCCAAACATCGGGTTCAGGGCTGTCGAGGGTTTCAGGGCGGGTCTCATGTGGCACCTCTTCCACGAAAAGCCCCTAAACCTTGAGCCCGGAGGCTCCGCCGCGAGACGAACGAGCGTACGTACGGCTTCGAGAAAAGAGACGCCCAGCTGTGCCTGTTTTGTTGAAGAGCACCGTGCATTTTCACGTCCGGCAGCCTCCCTGAAATTGAGTCCTACTTAATTCCATGGGAAACCCACACCCTCCAAATTTCCAACGCAGCTTTTGAAATCCTCTTGGCTTGGCTCGCAGCCGCCTGAGAAAAGCTGCCGTGTGAGCGCAGGCGCCCAAACTTTGATTCACACAGAGCTTGGGGGTTCAGGAGTAAATCCTGAGGTTTTCAGCCTGAGGTTGAGGGCGAGGGAGGAAGGGAGGCAGGGAGGGAGGGAGTTATTTCGGACTGCCGGTCCTTGGCGTCATAAGATCAAGCAACGTCGAGACATCAGAGGGGGGCACGTTGTGCACATGTCCCGGCGAGTTTGGGGGGTTTTAGGGGTTTAGGAGGCCGGGATGTGAGAGGGTTTAGGGGAGAGCTTCTGTTAAGCAGAGTCATGCACGCCCTTAAACCCTAACCCCCTAAAGTGCAGAGCTGGTTCTGTTTGGGTTTGGCACCCCAAACCCTAAAACCCCTACATGTTACTTTCGATCTCCTTTTTCGGGGTGAACTTGCGCTCAGGGTCCTCAAGGCCTCACGACTGAGATTCCGAGAGTTTCTCTGCGCTTGCTTGTTATTTGTTTGACTTTCCGCTTTTGCGGACCTGTTTAAACCTAGACCCTTAAACGTGCTGTCTATTTTCTGAAGCCCTTGGGCCAGGTTTGGCCATACGTGCCGGACACGAAAGGCACAAAAAAGAGAGGTGTTGGAGGAGTTTGGGGCTCCCGGAGGAAGGCCTGCAAAAAATAAAACTGGAGCCTGAATAGTTCTCAATACTTCCCCAGTATGATCCCTACAAAAACATGTCAGGAATATGTAAAAGTCATCAATATTGTCCCTTTATGGTCCCTACATCAATATAATGGAGACCACCCAAGATCACCAGGCCCCTGTCTTTTGCAAGCCACACCTCGCAAGGCCAAAGCACACTAAAAGGATGCGCAAATTCGATGCCCTGGCAACCGCAAGGGCGCAGTGGGGTAGCGGAGTGCGAGGTCAAGGTTTTGGTGGTGGTGGTGGTGGCATGGCGGCCCTCTTTTCTCACGCGCTGGCGACCGCGCTCGAGACAAATCAACACCCAACCACCCTGAGCAAGACCCCTTAAACCGCCCACACCCCCCCTCCCCCCCTAGGGTTTAGGTCTAGGGTTTAAGGTTTAGGGTTTAGGGTTTAGCGTTTAGGGTTTAGGGTTTCGGGTTTAGGGTTAGGGGTCCCAACCAATGTGGCGAAGCCCAAGAGGCCGCCCCGCGTCATCGCGTCATGGCAGCAGCTGCCGGAAGCGACAGGTCCAGGCCCGGGATGAGTTCGCCGAGGTCGTTTTGTTTTGGTTTAGGGTTTAGGGTTTAGGGTTAGGGTTTAGGGTTTAGGATTTAGGGTTTAGGGTTTAGGGTTTAGGGTTTAGGGTTTAGGGTTGCGGGCTTCTTGATGCGGGCTTCTTGAGTATCCAAGAGGACATACCAAGAGATAACGAGAGGAATGTAGCAAGAGACAGCCCGAGGATCTACAAATTGTTAACCAGTGGTTCTAAGTAAGGTTGCTTGAGCGGGGATTCCAAACTTCGGGATCTGGGGGGCTTCAGAAAGGTCCAAGATGTAGGGCTTTGAGGCTTATATGATTGCAGGCCACTCACGAATTCTTCACATGCTGGGCAATCTTCCCGAAAAAGCCCTAGACCCTAAAAAGTATTCCCGAAAGTTCTTCAGGCAGCTGCCTGCCTTGGACTTCCCCATGAAGGCCCTTCAGTACCAGGCCTACAAACCCTCAACTAACCCTTAGCCCCCCACACTTCTGACCCTTGAAATCCGAAACCCCGAGCCCGCCCACACAGGGACCTGCGGGGCGTGGACCTCGCACCGATGGAGCTTTGTGGGAGGGGTTGAGGGGTTTGGGGTTTAGGTTAAAAAGCAGATGCGGACAAGGGTTTACCCCAAGCCCTAAACCCCCGAACCCTAAACCCTAGCATTCAAGGGGTTGCTGTGATGTGCGAAGGGTGGCGAGTGAGGCGTGCGGTGCTGGCTCGATAGAAGCGGGGTCCAGGAGGGCCCTCGAACCGGGAACGCTGCTCCAACGAAACCCCGAACCAATCGCCCCTCCAAGAACAGGCCCCAAAAAAAGATCCTAAGCATCCCCTTCAGGCACACACACACACACACACACCCTGAGCCCTAAACCCCAAGCCCTCCGAAGCTGCAACCCCGTGGTGCGTGGCTAGCTCGGTGGCAACAAGAACCTCCCGAGACAGGATTTGGACCTGCAACTGGGGAGCGCCGCGGATGCTTTGCTTGCAGCCTCTGGCCAGGCCTTTAGCAGTGCCTTGGCCGTTTAAGGTTGGGACTGATGTTGCTTTGAGGAGTTACTCCTATTTGCTGAAGAAGCCCAGAAGAATGAAAAACAATAATCCCTATATTGCCCTCAACAAAAGGAAGAATATTTTCATTTTCTTAAGCAATTCGTAGTTTAGGGTTTTAGGGTTTGGGGTTTTAAGTGGAGACGGGAGGGATGGATGGATGCATGGTTAGGTTCTGGAATCGTGTGGGTGCAGGTGTGGACCTGCAACTCCTTCAGCTTTCGGGGGGCGGGTTGGGGAGGTGGGGGGGGAGCAGGGGGGGATGAGAGCCTAAATTTCGGGGGAGTGTCTCTTTGGTTCGATGATTCTGTCGGAGGAGGGAGGGGGGCGCCCGCACTTCTTCACAAGAGTGCATGCTGCCTTCAACTATCGAGGCACTGAAGATGCCAGGAAAGGCTGGACCAAGAAGGAGCCGGGAGCATGAGCTACAATGCGGGTTTAGAGATATTGGCATTGGATACAAAAGAGGCAGATGTTGCAGGGTTTGGCAGATGTTTTGAAGTAGAATCGAGACATCCCCCCCCCCCCCCCCCCCCCCCCCACCACTCCCCCTTTCGATGCGGGACTGTTCAGACCGAGTGTCGGGCAAAGCCCTAAACCCCACACCTATAAACCCCTAAACCGAACACTGCGAGTGTGAGAGTCGAAACCAAACAAACCCTAAAGCTTGGGACGCTTCTCGATTTGCAGCCCTCCCCTAGAAAGCCATAAGCTCCCCCTTCCTGGGCAACTTAGGGTTTAGGGTTTAGGGTTAGGGTCTTCAACCTACCTTAATTCTCGCATTTGTAAATTCCCCAATCCCAACGAGCCCTCAGAGCTTTTCCTGGGGACTCCTGGTACATGATGTATGTTATATCTATAACCTGGCATATAGTGTGTCTTATATGTATCATCTGTCATCTGTTCAATATCACCTATTGTAATGTCATATGTATCATACATCATATATTGCATATTTTCTTGCTCACATCATATCTATTACATACTGTACACGACATACCCCCGGATGCGAAAGAAGCAGCAAAGACGCGAAGGAGCAGAACGCCATGAAGAAACGACGGCTCGAAGCGGAACTCCGCTCCCTGGCACCTTGGCATGTCACGGTGGAAGCCCTAACCTCCCTACATAAACCCTTCCCCCCTAAATACAAAACCCCCCTACCCCCTAATTTACATGTTCCTCATACACTATCATAGAACTATCATGGAGTAGGGGGGAGGGGGGGGCTTTATATTCGAGGAGAGGGATTAAGCCCTAAACACCCGCCAGGGACCTGTACAGGAGTCTCAATCTCCCGAAGATTGAAGCCTGAAAGTCAGATAAGGTGCCTGAAGGTTTGGGATTTTACGGTTTAGGGTTTAGGGCCTGAGTACTGCGCCATATGACTCTTCATGACTTCATGCCCTGCAAGCGAACTGCATCGCAGTGCCGGCGTTGAGAACCCTATCTAAGAGTATCAGGCGATAAGAATTTGCACAGTGGCGCCCTTCAAAAGTTTGGACGGCTAGGCCGCTAGGCAAGGCCCATGCTTCAGTAGACCCCGGACACAACTTCTGAGCACCTCATGGGTGGAAAAAGATCTGGAAGCAAGCTGGTTGCAGGGGTACAGGGTTTAGGGTTTAGGGGTGACAGGACAGCTGCATCATGAATTCGTTGTCTTGCTACCTCGAAGAGGGGTGGGGGGGGGGGGGGGGGGGTGATGTCCTTACAATGTTGGTCGAGTAACGCTATAGGGTAGGGCTTCAGGATTGACAAGTCCGCGGCACGCTGCCGTTTTAGAGAGAGAGAGAGAGAGAGTGTGTGTGTGTGTAAGTAAGGAAATGATTGTATGTACTACATAGAGAAGAAAAAATGAATACCCAAACAAAAAAACATAAATATAGATATAGATATAGATATAGATATAAAAATATGAATATTAATATATCTACAAACATAAATATAAATATAAATTTAAATATAAATATAAATATGTCTAAGTAATTAGATTAATAAATAAATATATATATATATATACATATATATATATATATGTAGGTTGCTCTTTTGAGTATGCTACAAAAAATAGCCGACTTCATATGAACCACAGGAGATGCAGCAGCGGCAGCACCAGACCCGGGCAAACGCCTTTCTCAAGGCGTTGCTCTACTTGGAGGTTTATGGTACTTATTAACTTATTATAACCGTGCTTATAACCCAGTTATAGGCCCCTTAAGTGCCCGAATGTGGGTTATAATTGGGTTAGAGGTACAGTTTGTGTTGGGTGCATAGGTACCCAAGTACTGTTTAGGGTTGGGATGTTCACCCTTATACTAACAGTCATAGGGATTATGATAGGGGGCACTTTTGTCTTGATTAAGGACTGGTAGTACAAGGGGAAACATTCCAAGGTTTAGGGCTTAGGGTTTAGGGCTACTCTGCGATTTGCTTTAGAACCCCCCAAGTATAAAACATATTCTTCCTTACAAGGGTAACACAGTAATACAGGGAATAATTCCTTTTGAATTGTTTGGGGGTTCTTAAGCTAACAGTAGTACTGGGAGCGGACCCTTGATTCCCTTTCTTTGGGCTTAGGCTTCCGCAATATATCCCCGCTGTCAACCACAAACGCTCATTCTTTTCCCAGCTCGCCCCGGCTAGCTTTTAAAGCACGCTCCGTTTCCATCCGCATCTGAGCTGTCTGAAGGAGGAGGCACGCGAGAAGCTTGTGACTGATGACTTGCTACAGCTGCAGGACATCCCTGCAGCTTTTGAAGACTACAACAGGGACCCGACCTTTGCACAAGTAGGGATTCGGGCTTAGCTTACAGGTTTTGTGAGTGCACTTTCGGTTCCCGGCTTGGAAATGAAGCTCATGAAGCAGATCAAGGCAGCACTTTCTTGTCGTACCTTGGGGATTCGGGACCTGGATGGAAGACGAGACGAAATCCTGATGCAGCCAGGAAGCAGAGGCCCAGCTGGGGCTGCCCAGACTTGACGCTTGGCTGCAAGTTTGGCCCCGAGATCTAAAGATACCGAAGAGCAGGGTATGAATTGCAGGTATCGACGCGCGAAATCATCATGTCTGTGACCCATGCTGCATGCAATGCTGCATTGTGGCGCGCGACATTTCCAATGTCCTGTAAAAGCCAGGTGCGGCTTTCTCGGCGTGAAGCTCAATCAAGAAAGATTTCTAAACCAGCTGTTCCATGAGCGTTTCCAGAATCACTGAAGCCCCTCGAACATGCCATCTTCTCACATAGTTCATTCTCCTCTGGCCAAGTTTTGCGGTTCAGCTGCCCAACTGATGCACGCTCCTCCTCCGCTTTCTGGGCGAGCTGATGAAGCTGGACCGGTGAGTTTGGAAAGTGGCGGGAGGAGCGGGCATCATGAGCATCAGCATGAGAGGAGCGTGCATCATGAGCATCAGCTGGGGCAGGTACGCCCCTGAAGTGGCAGGAGCAGCGTCATGCGGATCAGCTGGGCAGGTGTGCGGCAGCAGCACAGCGCATCATGAGCATCAGCTGGGCAGGTGCGCCCGCTACGTGCCAGGAGCAGCGCGCATCCTGAGCACCAGCTGGGCAGGTGCGTCCGATAAGCGGCAGGAGCAGCGCGGATCATGAGCATCAGCTTGGCAGGTGCGCCCGCTAAGCGGCAGGAGCAGCGCGGAGCATGAGCATCAGCTGGGTCCGGTATGCGGCAGGAGCACGTGCGCGTCATGAGCATCAGGTGGGCAGGTGCGGCGCGCATCATGCGCATCATGAGCATCAACTGGGGCAGGTGCGCCCGGTAAGCGGATGCGTATCAGCTGTGGTGTTTCACAAACCCAGTCAGCTGTTTTTTGCTTTCTGCGGCGATCCGTTGGTCATGTGTAACTGGAGGCTAAAGTCAATGGCTTCCTCTTCGGGCGGGCTTTGGGGGATACCCGGAAACCCTGATTGTGGGTCCTGTAGGGGGCTCCCGCGCCCTCTGAGGTTTTGCATGTTCTTGCCATGAGCGAGTTCAAGTTTAGGGGGGGAAATGCTGCAGCAAAAGGGTGGAGGCAACCCAGTCAACACGTGAACAAGATCGCATCGCCGCTCAGCGCAACAATGGGAGCAAGTACGGGCTACTCCATGTAAGGCTCAGCATGATAAAGCAGGACAATAAGCGTCTTGACTCGATCTCCTTTTTCAACTTTTCCCATGTCCTCGTCTGGCCTTTCCTCTTTCCATCGAGGCTGCGTGTTGTGTGCGTCGCTAAAAGTGATGCAAACACAGGACACTGGCTCTGGGGACAGCTACTCTCGTGGTTGTTTATCCTTTCGGTTTAGGTTCTTGCACTTTGTGTGCAGATTGGTTGTTTAAATTAGGAGAAAAAGTTGCAGCCGGAGCCTTGAGAGAGGAGTTTGGAAGGTGATTTCACGCCGGGCCGCTGTCTTAACCCAAACAGAATGCGTGTCCACATCAATAGATGTGTGAACAACTCCGGCCGACAAAGGGGAGCTGGTTGCTGTTTGGGTTGTGATGAACTTGGGTTGAGTTGAAACTTGGTTGGGATGCGATTGCAGAAGGAGGGACACAGGGTGAGCCTAAACCCTAAACCCTAAACCCTACGCCCCAAACCCCAAACCCCAAAGCGAGGGCAAGCGTTACTGTTTCTGGTTGTTTCTTCTTGGAGTGCCTCGAAGTCAGCCCTGCGATGCGGATTCGCCCCAGCTGTGCAAGAGGGAAACATGACCAATGCTAAACTCTAAGTTCTAAAACCTAAATAACCTTAAACCCTAATCTTTAGAACCCTAAACTCTAAAACCTAAATAACCTTAATCTTTTTAAAACCTGAATAACCTTAAACCCTAATCTTTAGAACCCTGAACTCCAAACCCTAAACCCTAAATGACCTAAAACCCTGCCCAGCTACTCCCAAGGAGATTGACCACGCGCGTGGCGTGGCACTGGTTGGTGAGCCTCCGGGACTTGACGAGGCCGGAAACCCTTCCGGGATCCTCCCTGTGGTTTAGGGTTTAGGGTTTAGGGCCCCCCCCCCCCCCCCCTGGACAGTTCCCCCCCCCACCGCACCGGGTTTTCAGGCTGAACAATGGGGAACCTGAAAGAAACGGGGGGCAGAGGGCAGCCGATGAGAGACAAAGTGTGTTGTGACGTATTTTGAGATGTTGCAGGACTGGGGGAAACCGGAATGGAGCAGAGAGATGTGGGTGTGGCTGTGCAAAGCTCTAAACCCTAAACCCTAAACCCTAGACCCTAGACCCTAGACCCTAGACCCTAGACCCTGAACTTTAACTGCCCCGCTGCAGCGTGTTCAGGTCGCGAGTGCCGAGCTGGAGGCATTCCGTCGCATTAAGGTGGCTTTCGATGAGGCCCAGCCCGGGCACGGCATGAACATCTGGGTTGCTGTTAAGGAACATTCTGAGGAACTTAAATGAAGTGACCATGATGAGGGTACTGTATCGTTCGCTATGTATCCCGGTATCCCCACTGTGGCAACCCCATTTAAGTTTCTTGACAGCAACCCGGCTTAGGGGCCCTTTGGTGTCTGCAGGGTTCGGGCTTGCATCTTAAGCGTTCCAAATCTTAATGAACCCTCAACCCTAGAGCCAGTGCGTTCAACGGGTTAGGGTTTGGGGTTTAGGGGTTTCCAAAACCCTTAAACCCTAAACCCCGAAAGCGCTTGCGAAACGGGTGGGAAAAACACGCTCGTCCGATGCTTCCTCTGGCGAAAGAATGTGGCGTGCCGCTTTCCGGATTCCAGCAACCTCTTGTCGGGAGTCCGGTCATGTGGTGTCCTGGCAATTTATAACCTCACCTGCAAAAGGTAAGGTCCTCTGCAAGCTGTTATGGCTTCGTACTTGTGGGATCTTGTGGGTGTGTGTTGATAGTTTCGGTCAGCTGGCACGGCGAACTCACATAGTCGTGTAGTTTTCCTACCAAGCAGCTCATAGTAGCCCTAAACCCTAGACCCTAAACCCTAAACCCTAAACCCTAAACCCTGAAACCCAGAGGAAGGCTCGCTGGTCCACGCGGAGCCTCATCCGGCTCTGGGCCTCGCGTGCCTCGTCCGTCTTCGCGGTTTTTTGGGGAAGTCCGGGGTTCAGGGTTCAGAGTTTAGGGTTCAGGGTTCAGAGTTTAGGGTTTAGGGTTTAGAGTTTAGGGTTTAGGGTTTAGAGTTCAGAGTTTAGGGCTAAACCCTCAACCCCGTGCCTCGCCTGGCGTGTCCGAGTGTGAGCGATTAAGCCCTAAGCCCTAAGCCCTAAGTCCTTTAAGTCCTTTAAGTCCTTTAAGTCCTTTAAGTCCTTGAAGCCTTCAAGGGTCAGGGTTGGGGAAGTCCTGGCTTGGATTCACGGCAGAGGGTTTGGGGTGTGGAGCCTTTGGGGGGCTTGGGCTTGGGGTTGAGGATTTCGGGGCGTGGTGCTTTGGGCACAAGAGGTGCAGGGTCTAAGCTCCCAAGCCCCGGAAGTCAAAAAGCTTGGGCCCGAAAGACCCAAAAGACCTACGATCCCTGCCAGCCCTGAACCCTCAGCCACAAGGAACTACGTGGAGAAAGCCCTTGAGCATCAGGACGGCAGAGCCGAGTCCTTGGGATAGGGGTTCAGGGCAAAAAGGGATCAGTGCTTGGAGCGATGTCTGCGATGCTGATGCCCTAAAGACCCTCGATGCAGCACCGAAATCTTCGGCCCTGCCCGACCTGCAACAACCGCACAGCCACGTACCCTTAAGCCGCTGAAGTTGCTGTTCCGAATTCCTGCAGCCTCAGAAACGTGTACGGCGGACCCCCCCCCCAACCTCTTGACACCTAATCCTTCTGTCTAGAATTTGCTGAACCACGAGCCCTTACATCCAGACAACCTGAAACCCTTAACCCCTTGCCCAAGTGTCAACCCTTCACCCTATGGACCCTTACCTGGGCACTTCGCGAGCTTCTTTGCCGACATTGCTGGGGCCCTCCAGTTTGCGCATGACTGAACCTGAAATCCTCCGACATGATGGGATTTAGGGCTTCAGGTTACTATCTTTCAGTGTGCTGGTGCCGGCCTCAGTCCACGTTTCAAAAAAGCGCTTAAGGTTGCCTAAGGTTTAGGCAGGTTTAGGGTCTAGGGCTCAAGCGAAATTAAGGGTTCAAGGGGCCGGGCTGCACGAACTGTGGACAGAACCCGCTGCTTCAAAATCCCCCTAAACCCTAGACCCGAGACCCTAAACCCTAAACCCCAAACCCCAAACCCAAACCTTCGTTTGGTGCGTCTCTGCTTCAGGCTTGAGAAGTTTGGTAGAGTATCTCGTGCCTGCCGAAACTGGCCTAAACCCCTGAAGCCCCAAATGACCAAAACCCTAAGTTAACCCTAAAACCCTCAACCCCCGTAAACCCCTTACGCCCCAAACCGCCCAAAACCCTCATAACCGTAAACCCAAAGCCCCTAAAGCTCTTCAGAAGCCGCCAAGGGTTTAGGGCTTAGGGCTTAGGGTTTAGGGTTTAGGGTTTAGGGTTTAGGGTTTAGGGTTTAGGGCTTAGGGCTTAGGGCTTAGGGCTTAGGGTTTCGGGAAGAGCTGCGAGGACTTTGCGGCGCTGCCGACGATGGTCTGGAGTCGACTCTGCGAGGCCTACGGTTTTGGGGTTTTAGGTTAGAGTTTACGGTTTAGAGTTTAGGGTTTAGGGTTTAGGGTTGCAGGTTTGAGGCTAGAGTTTTTAGGGTTTAGGCTTTAGGTTTGAGGGCTTAGTTAGGGATGTAGAGTTTTAGGGTTTAGTCTTTTTCTGGGTTCATGAGGCAGTTGCGTAGCCGGCTTTACATTGCAGGGCATTAGGGCTTCGGGGCTCTGAGGTTTAGGGGTTCAT